CGGTTATTTACTGACGTTTTTACAGTGGTTTGTTAACAAAAATTTTTTACGTGGAAAGGTCGAGGGAAGCTATACCTTTAAATAACCGAGTTATTTATCTACATTTACCAGCATTAGACAAATAACCGCAGGCTAGGAGCAACCTTCCAAACCAAGACGTAGGTTTCATAGTCGATTAGCTGCCGAAAGACGTTTTTCCAGTATAAATTAATGGGACCATTGCTAAATATAATCGAGTCATCGTCTTTCCTGTCAGGCGTATGCATCACTGTGCGACTAATATTCAAGGGTTATGAAGCAAGGCTCGGCGGTGGCTGGAAAGGTAACGTAGTAACGTCGCCCAGGCCCTGTACATGTCTTCTCACGCCCGAAGTCCTCGCTTGAGGTACGACTCAGAACTGTTAGCGAATCGCGTGTCGTCTGTCAGAAGCGCTGCATGCCTCGAGCTTGATCAGGTCGAACGGATAGATGGCTGAGCAGAGCACGGGAGCGCGCGCGATGCGCGCCGCATAACTGCAAGGCCTGAACACGCTCAGGTCGTCCTTGCGTCTTGGCGCGGGCGCGTCATGCAACGTCTAGAAACCCTACGTAGACACCGATAGAAGAAAAGTACCCGGCATCTCGCGTATTCATCGTGCTCGTCAGGGCCGCGGAAGAATCGCCGGCGCGCCTCCTCGCGGAGAGACGCTCTTGCAGACGGCCGTACGGATTTACGCGCAGCGCAGTGCGCGGGGACGGCGGCCAGCCCGGCGTACTGAGCGCGCAGAATCTGCCTCGTGCGCCTGCATGCTTGCACGTTGACGAGTTCGGTCGGGCAGAGCAGCGATCGCCGAGAAGAACGCGCGAGAAAGCCGCGCACGCGTTGTCGAGATGCGGGTGCAGCTCGCGCAGCGCTCGCTTGCCGATCATGGATGCCGTGCGGGCCTTCTGGCAGAAGCCGTACGCGAAGAAGAGGCACGGAGTTTCTGCGCCGACGTTTGGGCGCGAGCACGGCACGGTGGCCGGGTAGAGGCCGCGCAGGCCCTGCGCGCGCGGGCCGTCTGCACGAAGCAGACGTACGCGTTGCGGTAGCCAGCTGCGTGAAAAGTTGCAGCTTCACCTTGACGGCGTGTCGCAGCGGCTGGCCGACGTAGACGGTGCGAGCCCCTAGTGCTCGCCGCGACGAGGTCGATCGCGCCATCCGGCAGGAATGTCGGGGGCTGAGCCAACTGCGCGGACCCTGCGGCCGGGCTCGGCGGAGGTCCTGCGCGCGTCATGCCGTGTAAATGGTGTTCCATCGGGCGTGTGTCAGCGCTTGCCGATTCCTTCCGAAAAGCCCGCTATGGTCGGCAGCCGACACGCTACGGCTACAACGATACCTATTGCAAGCTGAATGCCTTTATGTTCATGCATGTGCAGTCGTGAGCAAATGCAATCATAATTTATTTACAGGGTTGTTTTACCTAACCATATGTAGTGGCACGCCAGGTTACGCAGGTAGCTTTGATGTAGAGATTCACAGAGAATTTATACTATCATAAATTTATATTTATTGAATATTATAATTATTATAGGGCCAGGGCCCATTACTGAACACATCTCAAGGCAAGCTATAGCAGATTCATTGACATATGCAGCCAGTAATGTGAAACCACTCCAAATGCTAAGAATGTGGATCTTGATTAGAATGCACGGTATATTCCTTAGCACTAGTCAGGAATACTGATAAAGCAGCTCATGAACAGCGTTTTTCTAGCGGCCAAGCGCGGCAACGCTGTATGCCGGGTGTTTGTAGTCGCTGGAGAATTTCGTTGCCAAGACAACTGTGCGCTGTAGCTACTAAACAGCTTCATTGCGTATAGAAAAAAAGAAAAGAAATATTTGTTGCATTTAGAAATAAATTGAGTTACCAATAAAAAAAGTACTGAGGAATATAAGCATAAATGCTATGGTACATATCAGGCGGAACAATCTAGGTTCGTGGTGCAAGTCATTGATGCACCACAATGAACTTAGTCAGGGCGAGTCTTTAGGCGCAAATAAGCGGTCAATGAATTTTACACTATACCTCGTGCACTATATCAGCATAAGAATCTGATGTGAACTAACGCAGCAAATCCTTGTTTTGTTCGCAATTCGTCATAAGTTTTCGGCTACAATCGGGTCACATTTGGGGCGAGGGGGTCTGCCACTAGCATTAGTGCTCAAGTATATCACCTGCGTATTAGTAACGTCAAACATGACACCAGTCTAGTTCTAGACCACTCGTCAGGCTGGCCAACAATATGGGAGTGAAGGTCACTAAAAAAGTTCAACAACCAGGTTTCTACGCACGGCTGCAATGGGGTTACTGCGGACTAGCATGTATTCCATGTGCGCCCTACACCAGGTACACAACCAATTAATATGCAAAAACATATACAGAGTGCACGAAAACTTAATCAGGGTGGGATAATTTCTAGATGACTCATTGGGAGAGAAAACGACCAGCTTCTATGAAATGTTTTGGGGCTTAGTTGTGGGTGTGGCTATAATATGCTAGATCAAGACTAAGCGAAGGACAGGGTACATGTGCAATTGGCTGTATATTGAAGCAAAATAAAAACAATCCGCACCAACAGGCAAATATCGTAGTTGTTCAGCCAAAACGCGGATGGAGTTGTTCAATTGCTAGCACGTGGCTTTTTGTACAGAACCGAAGACGTTTTAACTTACTTAGAAATGGCAGGGGGTGGTTTCTACTGTGTGAATCTTGTTCTTCTGTAAGGCTACACGATGTTCCTCGGGTAATTGGGCTTAGGGAGTTTTGTCGAAGCGTAATCAGGTTCTGATGGTGATCAGGTACAGGAACAGACGGCAGCCCTGAAATTTGGGGGCTTTCTAATGGCTTCATTTTTGATCATTCCACAGCATTAAGGCAGAGAGTAGATGAAGAAAGCTGGAGAGAAGCGATAGAGATATTCGATGGAGAGAGGATCGAGAGACCAAGTGAGTGGCGACAAGAGAGTGGACAATTGATTAGGAGGGCGCTGAGAGAGGGTGCATCAACGTAGTGGGGATGGAGAGAGGGGAGCCAATAGGTGGGATGAACAGGGAGGGGACGAAGTGAGTAAATAAAATGAATGCATTCGTTAGCCTAAAGTTTTCCACTTTTAAAACCTTCTTTAACCAATCTTGGCAGTGCATTAAGCTAGTTTTGGGAGTAGTAGTCATTCAGTGGTTGCCGGTATGCGGTATTACCATACGAAGTGGCTATATGCCCGGCCCAGCCGGGCATGGGGGTCTTTCGATTTCCTAAACTGCCGGCAGTTTTTAATGTTTCGGCTGATTTCTGCAAGTAAACAGTGTACTACGTACGTCGATCCAAGTATTCTACATTTGTTTAGAATGTTCAAGCGATTTTCGTTAGAGCTGTATATTCGAACTAGCCAATTCTCGCTACTTCGGATCAGCTGAGCTGGGAAACTAACTCGCGATCGACACTTCGAAAATATCCACGGCTTCCGGCACGCGTCCTTCGATTCTCCTAAATGCCGCCAGTTTTAATTTCGGTGATTTATCAAGTAAACAGGAGGGTTAGGGTTAGGGTTAGGGTGGCCGGCTGCCGGGCAATATAGGCTCTAGGCAACATATGGGTGATTACAGCATTCAGAGCCGATACCTGTAAGATGACAAACTTGACACCGGTGACAGTGTCAGTGCATGACAGGTTTATTGTGGGATATATTGTTAGCATGCCATCTTTACAGAAACCTATGCGCCGTGGGCACTGGTACTGCGTAGCCGTAAGTCTCTAACACATACTCTTACTAGGTAGCAGTCCTTCACAGTTTTGGCGTTTAGATGGGGTATTCTAAAAGGACGTGGATATTCGTCGGCGAGCCATCGACACCTGTCGTGATGCGCATTCGTCGCGAGCAGCTTTGCTTGCGCATGGCGCTGTTCATGTTGTATTAGCATAAATGTAATATAATGCGTACGTCTAGGGAGGCGCGCTACTCTCCAACGCTAAACTGCTAATACTAATTCAGGCTAATCTGTTTAAGCTCTAAGCGCTAACTCTAATACTAACAGCAAAGTGCTAAAACCGCATACGGCAGTACGCACTATTATTAACCGACCGTTGGCTTATATAGGCAATGATAGTAACGCAAAACACCTATTCGCCCCTGTATGGTGTATAACGCACATACGCAACGCCATGTATGGCAGGGGCGTCACGTACGCCTTATTATTATTAGGGCTGCGTTAATTATTAGGGCTGCGTAGCAAAACGCAAGGCAATAGAATATAATATAATAAAATTTAGAGCGTCTAGATTTTAGAAATTGGCTGGGGGGAAACCCCCCAGACCCCCCTTCACACTTCCTATCTCCGGCACTAGAGGCCGTGCGCCTGCGGCACGCTACATCAACAACTGCTCGGACGAATAGCGCATACGAACAGGTGTCCGATGCTCGGACGAATATCCACGTCGATTCTAAAAAGTCCTGTAACCTGCATTAGTGCCATATTCATATTGGCCATGAAGGGAACAACTCGACATTTTATTATTACAACGATCTTTAAAGACTTTTCCATCATACGTTAAACTTTCTACCAACTGCATAATAAATGCAGGACGTTACCTAGCAGCATAACAGGGTTACATAATCACTAGACACTATATATACTAACTTAATCTAAAGTAAAGACTTGCTATCTTACACGCTTGTTGTGAACTTGGAAGTGGGAATACGAGTGCTGCCACTGGCGAAGAGTGGTCAACTCAAACGAGTGTGGATGACTACAGACTATGATGATACTACCAGCGCATATAAATCTACAGTCTAATAAGTTAGCATTTTGATTAAAATAACAAAAAAGATTATACGTTTGTTTACGGGCATTTTTATCAAAAAAATTTAAACCACATGCGTGCTAAATAAATGAGTAAATATAAGGATCGTTTCAAAAAGCTTATCATTCTTTTCACTTGGGGGCGTCACCAACTAGTTTGCCAGGCGAGGTAGAAGTGAGTTTTGTATCGAAAAGTTGTAGACGATTTTCTTGCAAGCGTAAGGTATTACTTCGTCGCGTAATGTTCACGAAATCTTTACTGAGTTGTTTTTTTAATGTTCTGGTGATACTGGTATCATTATTTTGCGCAAACCCACTTTCCTACCGGTCAATATGCCGCCGCGGCACCCGACTCCTAACCCCCTACCGCGCCCGCCTGACTGTACTCTCTGTAGGTGTTGAACAACGGGAAATGCTATCCCCCGGGCGTGGAAGGACAGTACCGCAACGTGGCAGCACTAGTGTTAGGGTTAGGGTTAGGGTTTTTGCATCATGATATCTGTCCCTACACCATAGATTAATTTTTGTGGATGACACCCCTATATATATTATAGATATCCGACAAGAGTAGATATAGTAACACAAGAGTGAGACGTACCCGATCACAGGCACTTGGACCGTTTCAATAACACTCTAACCTACTGTGTATTTGTGCATGCACAATGGCGTGCGGGCTGTACTGACAAGTTGTATTTATTAACCATCATTTTATTATTGAAACGGTCCAAGTGCCTGTGTGCCCGATTCCCGCATTTTTAACCGATTTTTCTCATCAAAATTTGCCACCAATAAAGAAGCGATCCCGCATTTTTAACCGATTTTTCTCATCAAAATTTGCCACCAATAAAGAAGCAAGTGTATACGTTCCTCAGCTTATTATGACCACTAATCACTCACCTTCGTGGTACTGATATTCGTTTACATATATTTGCTAGCGTATTGCTGTAAATCGTAATCTTGCACGAGCTGAATTTGCACAATTTACCTCCATTGTGTAGACATATCTAGACAAAATATGAAGCTATAGGCCCTAGTGGCGCCAATATTTAGCAACGGACGGTTTCCAAATCATTTGTTCCCCGATAGGGTTGAGAGTAGTGATGTCACGATCATCGGTTGAACAGCATTTGGCTCGAACCAAGCGCTTGGTTATCAAAATCCATAATCGATTTCATCGGAAAAAAAATAAATAAATAGAAATAAATGGAAAAGTGATGAGAATCAGAGATATCATCGCTACTATACAAGTTATCCTTTATTAACATACATGTATTATACACACAGTAGTAAACAGTGCAAAACAAACAATAAACAGGGATAAACAAGCACATACATGCACACACGTACATGCACACGCAGGCATTCAACACCCCGAGTAACCGATTGTAACCGATCATCGGTTACTTGGGTCCAACTGATGATCGATTACGAAAGTACAACCGATTGACAACACTAGTTGAGAGACAATCTAAATTTCGAATTTTGATCTCGTGAGGAACCGCGAGACGCGCTCAGTTATTGTGATCGCAACACAAGAAATTGACATACTATCTTACATAAGTAATAATACAATAATAACAATATTCTCTGTAGTAGTTTGCAGTAAGTATCACATTACGCACGCGCAGGTAATCAAGTACATTAAACCCCTATCGGGGTACGAATGATTTGGAAACCGTCCGTTGCTAAATATTGGCGCCACTATAACTTCATATTTTGTCTAGACGTGATGGGCGTCGAAACCAGGGCGCAGCCCGACGATTGGCACGCAGTGCCACGCTTAAACAGGCATTGCCCTCCCCCCTCATCACACAAGTTACATCTAATGTATTTCGATGTGCGAATCGCTGATCTAACGTTCTGCCACATCAATCTACTCGCGAACTGTCTTAATCAATAGCTAGTGGCTTGTTAACAAAAATCACGTGCTATTTAGCATGCTGCGCCCTTCAATTTCCTCGTAAATCTGCATTTTAGTGAGACCGTAAGCCCCGCCCATTATTCCTTATACGGCGTGCACGGCAGCTAGCTTGGCTCTGAGCTGAGGGCTTATCCGTTATCTGCCGATTTTCCAGACACATCGTCGCCAGCGCAGTTCGAACGTGTGGGTTACATAAGGTCAACGCGTTAACGCCTAGATTACAGCAGCTGTAGTACCCGCGTGGGTGCGGCGTATATAGTAGTAGGCTAGGGTTGCAGGTGACTGGTGTGTGTATACCATCTTCAATCTACCATCTTCTGCGATCGACATTTTCAAGATTCCCAAGCTTCGCGGGGAGGACACCCATACCCGCCGCCTTTTTGTCACCCCCATCCACCAGATAGATCCATATAGATCCATATAGATTCGACATAATTTGGCGATTTTTCATACTAATGTTATATCCTATGATCGACATATTTATGAAATTATATATATTAGAAGTCTATCGTCTATGCCTATGATTAGACTTGGTAAGAAGTTATTTCCATCCCTCAAACCGCCCTTGGTCGTTTCCGGTGTGCACGTTAAACTCCGTTTAATTGACTGTATTCTATTTTAAAATTAACTTTTGAGTTCTTAGATGCCTCATTCATCTTTCTTTGAGTTCTTAGATGTCTTATTCATCTTTGGTTTGATTTGCTTGCATTTGACTTTTGTATTAAATACATATGACTGGGCCATATCCATCACCCAAACCGCCCTTGCCCCTAAAAGACCTATTGCAAGCGTAACAGAATTAGTATGTACAGTGTATCATGGGTATATGTTTTGCTATTTTATAAAACCACAAGATCATCCGCTGACCACTGTGGATACGTGCGCCGGCCTACAATGTGGCGCACGTATCCACTGCGGGCGGCGCTTCATACGTGCATATTTGGTAATTAGGCTAATCGTGCGTCAATAAACTCGAAACTCACAGGGATTATAGCTAAGACGTGTTTATAGGTACATCTAGAATTCTAGAATTGTACCTCAACTCGTTCGCTCCATGTGCTTGTAACTGCACTTTCCTACCGGCAGTATATGGTCGCACCTGCCTGCAGCCGCGCCTGTATAAGCCTATGGGCATTACCGTGCGTGAATAATAGCTAATTAATTAGACTAATCGTGCGTCAATAAACTCGAAACTCACAGGGATTATAGCTAAGACATGTGTTTATAGGTATCTAGAATTCTAGAATTGTACCTCAACTCGTTTGCTCCATGTGCTCGTAGCTGCACTTTCACTAACAGCTGTATACAATGCGCCCAGTACAGACAGTACAGGCGGGCGCGGTAGGGGGTTCGGAGTTGGGTGCCGCCATATTGACCGGTAGGAAAGTGTATTTGCGCCATTATTTTCACTATTTTACTTTTAGGTTGCACTGCGACTGTGTCCGTTGGCATCATATTATCTTCCGGAGGCTGCTGTACTGACACTGATTGATAATGGCTCGCAATAAAGAAAAGCAATTTGGTCGTCTCAACAGATTATGGCTACAGAAGGAGAGAGAAGGTAGTAATATATACTCCATTTCACATTACATTATAGGCCTATTTCGTAGGGCTTCGTGAACGTATGGCTGGTAACAAATCACGATGATTATAAGGAAAACACTTACACGTAGAAGCGTTCGACAACATCAGGCAAAGCAATCGGAGAAGAGATCACGCGATGTCGAGTTGCCGGCGCAATCCCAGCAGATTCAAAGCGAGCTGCACTCTGATTCGAATCCGATATTTAGTGCTCATCTGCCGGCAGATGGCAGCACTGTAGATCAGCGTTGCACACCGCAAGACAAGTGGGTTGAAAGCTCGTTTAACGTGTCTGTTAGTACGAGTGATGAAAGCAAAGCATGCAAACGGAGGCGAAGATCATCTCTCGCTAGTCTCTCGCAAAAGCCATGCGCGGCGACATCTGTCGAGAAAGAAAGGGGCAGTTCCGCCAAGCCAAGCCTGAACTTGCCACCCGCAAAAAACGAGGCAATTGCCGACTCAGCAGTTCACGATAATTCTAGCTTCTACGAGGACGATTCGGTTCTGGCGATGATCGATCTTTGCGAGGCGGAGTATGTTCGCCAGTCGGCTTCCGTTAGCACAGACGGGGTCGCTGCCTCGTCGAGCAACGCTAGCGCAGGTAACGATGTAGTCACGCCGCCTAAAGGCAGATGTTTAGAATCTAGTCTACACGCGTCTAACGAGGGACCGTCCGTGCCAGAGACGGCGATCGCGGGCAGGAAAACACAAGCAGAATCGTCGGAATCTCCAACGCGAGCCGTCGTCGCCGGCGAACCGGGTCGCGATGCCAACAATGAAACGAGGGCCGCCGTTTCCGCGGCGATGTCGATGCAGACTCGGATACGGCGCGCGCTGCAGCAGAACGCGAGCGTGTCAACAACCCCGGAGATGCTCCGGGCGAAGAAGCTGCGAGACACGACTCTGCGACGGGAGATCGACGACGCGCCGCCATTGCCGCCGCCGGAATCGCCGAGCGCCGCCGCCGCTGCCGACGACTTCTTCGGCCTGCCCGCAAAGGTCAAGGTGCTGCTGGAGAAGGTTCGCGGGATCAAGGAGCTGTTTCCGTGGCAACGCGAGTGCCTGAATCTGCCGGCGGTGCGGCGCGGCGGCAACCTCGTCTACTCGCTGCCGACGAGCGGCGGAAAGACACTCGTGGCCGAGATCCTCGTGCTGCGGCAGCTGCTGCTGCGGCGCAGGAACGCCGCGCTCGTGCTGCCCTACGTCTCCATCGTGACGGAGAAGGTGCAGGCGCTGTCGCCGTTCGCCGACGCGCTGGGCTTCCTCGTCGAGGAGTACGCGGGAAGCCGCGGCGCGTTCCCGCCCGTCGCGCGCCGCCGCCGCAACTCGGTGTACGTGTGCACGATCGAGAAGGCGCACGCGCTCACGAACAGCCTCGTCGAGACCGGCCGTCTCGACTCGCTCGGCCTCGTCGTCGTCGACGAGCTGCACATGATCGGCGACGGCGGCCGCCGCGGCGCCACCCTCGAGGCGATGCTCGCGAAGCTGATGTTCGTCGCCGGCGGCGACGGGAACCGCGGCGACGACGGCGTTCAGATCGTCGGCATGAGCGCGACGCTGCGCAACGTCGACGAGCTCGCGGCGTTTCTCGACGCCGAGCTGTTCACGAGCGACTTCCGGCCCGTGGCGCTCACCGAGTACCTCAAGGTCGGAGCGGACGTGTACGAGATCGACCAGCGCGCGGCGAGCGCGGAGGATCGGCTGACGCACCGGCGCGTCGTCGTGGCGACCAAGGCGCCGGCGGGGGGACCGCGGCGGCGCGACGACGACGACCCCGACCATCTGCTGACACTCGCGCTAGAGGTGATCCCCGCGCACTCGTGCCTCGTGTTCTGCTCGACGAAGAAGAACTGCGAGAACGTCGCGATGAACCTCTGCCGGCGGATGGACGCGTCTCTGCGGGAGGTTCGCGCGCGTGACCGGCGCGCGCTGCGTGGCGCGCTCGCGCTGGAGGGCGAGGGCCAAGCGTGCCCCATTCTGCGCTACACGATGCAGTACGGCGTCGCCTACCACCACGGCGGCCTGACCGTGGACGAGCGGCGGCTCATCGAGGCCGCCTACCTCGACGGCGCCCTCTGCCTGCTCGCGTGCACGTCGACGCTCGCCGCCGGCGTCAACCTGCCGGCGCGGCGCGTGATCCTGCGTGCGCCGTACGTCGGCCGCGAGCTCATCACGCGCAGCCAGTACAAGCAGATGGTGGGGCGCGCGGGCCGCGCCGGCATCGACAGCGCGGGCGAGAGCGTGCTCGTCGTGCAGCCGGGCGACCGCGCGCGCGTCGTCGCCGCCGTCGTCGGCGGCGCGTACGAGACGTGCCGCAGCAGCCTGCCGCACGACGACGGCGGCGGCATCGAGAGCCTCGCGCTGTCCTGCGTGGGGCTCGGCGTCGCCGGCAGCCGGGAGCGCCTGCGCGCGCTCATGCGGCGCACGCTGCTCGCGCGGCAGTCGCCGCGACCCGACGCGGAGGTCGCAACGCGCGTCGACGTCGCGCTCGCGTCGCTCGTCGAACGCGGACTCGTGCGGGAGGACGGCGGCGGCGCGCTGGCGGCGACGCGGCTCGGCCGCGCCGCGTTCAAGGGCCCGGTGAACCACGCGCTTGCGCGCACGCTCTACGACGACCTGCGGCGCGCGCAGGGAGCGCTGCACCTCGCCTCGCACCTGCACCTGCTCTACCTCGTCACGCCGTACGAACAGGCCGACGCCGTGCGCGTCGACTGGATGACCTACCTCGACGCGCTCTCGCGGCTCGACGCCGACGAGACGCGCGCCGCCGCCGCCGTCGGCGTCACCGAGGGATACGTCGCGCGGCGCATCGCCGGCGGCGGCGGCGGCGGCGGACCTTCCTCCGCCGACGCCGCGGCAGTCGCGCGGCGGTTCTACGTGACGCTGATGCTGCTCGCGCTGTGGAAGCGAGCGACGGTGTGGGAGGTGGCGCAGCGCTTCTCGTGCTCGCGCGGGTTTGCGCAGGGCCTGCACGCGGCCGCTGCAGGCTTTGCCGCCTGCGCGTCGTACTTCGCCGGCGAGCTCGCCGAGCTGTGGCCGTACCCGCGCCTGCTCGCCGATGTCGCCGCGCGGCTCTCGTCCTGCACCAGCCCCGAGCTCGCCCCGCTCACCGAGATCGCGGGCGTGCGCGCCTCCCGCGCGCGGGCGCTGCACGCGGCCGGGTTCCGCGCGCCGGCCGACGTCGCCGCGGCGCGACCCGACGACCTCGCGCGCCGCGTCGCCGGCGTCGCACGCAAGCAGGCCGCGACGCTCATCGCGTCGGCGCGCATCGTCGTCACGGCAACGGCCGACGCGCTGCGGGAGCAGGCGGACGAGCTGCTGCGGGCGAGTCGCGCGCAGACTCCCGTCGCCGCGAGCGACGACCGGAACGTGGGGGAGGACGTCACCGGGGGCGACGACCACGCGGCGGCGGGGCGCGGAGGCGGGGGCAGCGAACCGTGGGGCAGTGAGGTGTCGGTGCCTGCGATGGACAGTGAGAGTCAGACCTCTGCACTTGGTAGCGTCTGCGATTACCCCAGCTGATATAGCGAGCAATGTCAGGAATCTTGGAGAGTCGCTAGACACGAACGATTAAATTGATGTTGCCAGCTGCTCTGGACGTAGACAAAAACGGAAACGACTGTATGTCTGTATATATCACTTTTTTGCTGGAACTTATTACCTCCGCCCAACGGAGTTGGAGGAGGTTATGTGATCGCTCTCGTGCGTTCGTGTGTTCGTGTGTTCGCGTGATCGATATTAGTGCGCGAGCCAGCCAGCGCAGCGAGCGTGTACATGTGATCGAGCAGCAGCAACGAGCGGCTGCTACGAGCGAGTGGGCAGCAAGCCAGCAAGCGTGTACATGTGAGCGAGCAGCAGCAACGAGCGGCTGCTACGAGCGGCTGCTACGAGCTATGTCGCTGGCGGAGGTATGCACTCTCCGTGAGTGCCCTCTGTCTAGTTAGTAATGTTATAATATCGACAAACAAAGAGAGAGTTTGCAGCTTAGGTGCTGGTTGAGTCTTGCATTAGGCGTGTGATTAGCTTAAGTAAACTTACCAGCTGTCCAGGGGGAAAAATTAAGAAGAGATCGCCAGGTGCCAGGTATCTATTTTCAGGTAATCGTTGGTGTCATTAGGGTGTGACCGATATCTTGGAGGTGGCTACTTAACAGGTGGTTGGTAAACTGGGGTTTAGTGTCTTAGCTGTATGATTTCATATGAGAATGCTAGAACTTGGATGCGCTGGTGATTTCCGAGTGCCAGTTTTATATATAGAAATGGATTAGAGTTGAATTTCATGATGAAAAAAAAAATTGAGAAAAATATATTTGTATATTGTATATTGTATATTATGGGTGCTAAAAACTTCGTAGTAAAATGGATTTTTTACAAACATTTAATTGCCCATAGTTTTACTTTTTAAATTAGTACTTCGACGTTGGAAAATACTGTTCGTGTACTTGCAGTAGTGTCGCAAAAACGGTTACACATTTAAAGTAGATCTGTATGTGAATCTCATATGGAAATTATCCCTCCTAAAACTGTCTAGACACTGGTTGCAGGTTTTCTTAAACCTTGCACGTACAATGTACCGAATCAAACTCGGTTTGCATTGCATGTAAATTAGCTGGTCGAAATGTCAAAAAAAAAACATTGCACATATTTACCCTCGATATTGCTAGCTATGCGTGTACATGTGCTTGTGGAAGCACCAGCTAGCTAATATTGCAGCTTTCATTTTACAGATGAACCAAGAACTAGACCAAATCTGGTAAGTGGCACTCCTATCTTGTATTGGACTTGACATTAATTTTTAATGATGAATCATTTAATATTATAATAGTCCTCTCATTTATTTTAGATTTTTTATCATTTCTATCAAGTATTTTTAATTGGTAAACATTTTATTGACTAAAATAGATTCTTTGCAACAGTATAAAACTACATTTTGTGTTGTTAAATTATATTAACATTTGCATTAATGCTATGAATGATAAATTTCTTTTGTCATAGAGCACATTGAATAGTGCCGAAAGCATAAAGAAATGGATCCCAAGTATAAAAGCTGATATTGACTTCTATCTGAAGGTAAAGTTATAATGAGCCATTATTGTAATGATAACTTAATGATTCCACTTGGGGAAAAAACAAGCTAATTATGCCCACACATAGATATATGTTGCTATAGTTATTACACATTAGTATGAGAACTGTTTTGGGATTAATCATTATAGAATCTCTTGTGCTTTTCTCACAACAACATAGATGGAGGATACATACATGCATGCACGCACGCACGCACGCACGCACGCATGCATGCACATTAATAGCCTCTACATTAACACAGTGCTTCATCTCACTGTTCTTTTTGGTGCGAGTTTATTCTTGCACAAAGTTGCGACCTGGTTTATTCATTCATACAGGTTCACTGGAATTAGTTTAATTTATTCATAGAGCACGCACGCAAAACCTCAGGCTCTTCTATCCGCTGAAAATTCTTGTTACAATTTAAATTGACGATTTCACAATGTGATTTGCTTAAATCTGCAAGAAGTAGGTGGTGATATTTGTATCTTAACTTCCCGTTTTACATATTTAGATAAAATCAGGAGATAAAATGGTAATAGACGCATTGTGGCTTGGGATCTCTTCTAATTTTTCAGCAGTGGGTTCAGTGTGAAACTTTGTGTGTGGCAACTATAATATGCTTGAATATTTTCCTCTCATGTAGGACATTAAGTTGATAGCTCCCGTTTTTTTATCAAATGTTTCGTTCAATTACAGCAATCGGAAGTCCCATGCTATCCAGAATGGAAGATTGAGGAATTTCAAACAGAAATTGAATACCTACAGCGACAGTACAAGAGCTTCGTACGAAAGCTCCAAAAGATTGAACCTACAACAACCGAAATACCGTGGACTGAACGCGCATACAAAGTGAAGAAGCGGTCTCTTCCTCTAGGTTTGTAGTGAATCTTGTCATAGTGAGAATGTTTAGAATGTACATGTGCGTTAGGTGTACTTATGATAGTGTGCACGCTATCCCATTTTTACATTGGATATAAGGGTACAAAAGAGACCTCGAAATTGTGTGAGTGTGCTTGCTGACAGTGCGTGCGTGCTGGCGTAGTATAGTATACTAGTTTGGAAATGCCGTTGAATTATGATTTATAGATGTTAGTTCAGCAGATCTTCAACTAGTAGGTTATCATAAAGAAAAAAAACACATTCGCCCCACCAGATGGCGACGGTGTGTATTAGCACACCAAGACGTAAGGGATCCCTTATACAAAATAGTCAACAGAATTGTCATTTTCAAGCAAAAATGTGACAATTTTTTTACAGATTCGAGCAGCCATGATATTGCGGGACCCGTCGTCACGTCAGATCCGTCTCCCTTGGGAAGCAACACCGGAAAGCCGAAAGCCTTCAAGAGAATTTCGCTGCCCGTGCTGGAGAGAGAGGAGCCGCCGCCGTCTTCAGCACAGGGCGAGCAACTCGACTTGTTTCGTCTCGCCGGTCAGGACAAACCGCTCGAATTCGATGCGCGACAGACAGCGACCGCCCGCGCGTGCGACGAGGTCGGCGGGGAAGCAGACGCGCGACGGACAGCGACCGCCCGCGCGTGCGACGAGGTCGGCGGGGAAGCAGACGCGCGACGGACAGCGGGGGTCGTCGCCAAGGGAAGACCTGCGCGTCGTCTCCACGGCAACGCCGCTGCGGGCGAGCGGGGGGACCCCAGCGCGGAGATCGTGCGTCGTCACGGCGACGCCTCGGCTGACGACGACGACGTGGCGTCGTTGGCGCGCGACGTACGCGGGCGGTCGCCGGCGTGGTGCGAGAGCGGTGAGAAGGCGACAGAGCGGCGTAACGTTCTTGGTCTCGAGTACGAGTCGTCGGACAGCGATGAGTGAGCGTAGGTACGTCGATCGCCGACTCGCTCGTTGACGCTCGTACGGAAAACATTGTCGCCCAGCACTCGTTTGTAAACACGAAACGTAGGCGACGTTTCGACATGTAGCCATGTTATCATAGTACTGTTTTTAACTACACTTCTTTGATAAGACCATGCCATTCTATAATTGTAATCGTTGTGATTTTTCCGTAAACAGTACTGGTCGGCATAGTGTCGTTTGAAAACTTGTCCGGAGTTGTGAGAAGTGTCACCGGCGAGTTTATCTGTTGAGAGAATGCTGGCCGATGTATCATGGTAGGTGGAATCACTCTGTGTATGCAGAATATGGTAATATGTACATATATATATATACGAAACTGTTTAAAAGTGTTTGAGAGACTGTTACACATTTCAGTTTATTATATTTTTTAGTTAAATTTGGTGAGGTTATATTTATACAAACAGAATATTTAATATAATTATTATTGAGACTGTTTAAATGATTGGTAGCATACAAATAATATCAATGTAAATAGTTTTCAGTGCATTCTCCGTCCAGTAGTTGAAACTTACGTACGTGAAATTTCACCTACTATAAATAGCAACTATCAACAATAGTATCAAAGGTTATGTTCATTAGGAGACTGACCTTTCGAAAATGATGCTCCATAATAGTTTTCTTGAGCAGCGATGCTAGTATGTAAATAATAAGTTTATCACATATTTAATATAGACCATGCCTATATACATCTGACAGAGTGAGTCGTCATCGACGCGTAGCAGGCACGCGTGCACGCGATAGAACCGTACCATACTGCAGTCACTATTCACGAGACGTGTCTGCCCCTTACTCTGCATGCACTAGCACTCGTTTGCGCGCGGAAGTTACTAAGGCTGTGCGATCGGTATATGTCTATACATTGACAGCATTTCGCGCCAAGCTTACACACTGTATTGGAGCTGGATCGCCTAGCACTACGTATACGCGTTTCTGGCTGTGATACATCGTCATGGTTGTCGTGCGACCGTTGACAGGCTTCAAGCATCGCGGCACTACGTCTGTCTTATTCGTGGCGCTAAACTTACTCCTGGCATAACTACGGCACTACAGATATGCGAACCTGCGTGCTAAACTTACATCGTACACTAGACAGAGCTACGTTACTATAGACGTGTATAGCCAAACACGCACCTTGGCAGGACTACGCCGATATGGTTGCCCGCCGTATATATACAACTTGCGCTGTAAGTTTGGTGCGCTGCTACGGTTGCGTACCAAACTCACACAGTACCAATGACCAGTGCACAATAGCTGTGAGAGGCACCCCGCTTTGCCTATTAGCATTAATCTGTGAGTGTGCACTGTGTCGGGGCGATACTAGATGTGTCACAAACTGATACTGAAATCATTGCTCGCAAAGGAATCCTACGCGCGCACACACACAGGTCTACATCTATTCTTCATTAGTAACACATATTCCGCAGGCCAGTACACGCTCGTGTGTGTAATTAGCAAACGTAGGTATATATACTACTATACAAGCTGGAGAATACTAAATGGCACATAAAAATAGCTTTATATTAAATGTTCGATTATACCTAAGGGGACATGACCTTATACAATATCGGCTCATATATGTACAGATGCTACAAATATCATTTATCGGTATCTAAAAAAACAAGTACATATAATACAATGATTGTCGGCCACAGAGTGTAAGTGATTGGAGTTTCACGGGTGCAATTCTATCATGTATTGTATACAGCGAAGATGACACACACAAATATATATATGTATATATATATATATATATATATATATATATATATATATATATATATATATATATACTATTCAATTACGAATGTCAGTAGTGGCAATGATGCCTTGTCTAGCGGCATAAATCATTATGAGCTGTTAGTTGAAATTATGAGGCGCAAACTTTTCTGCGTCAGTGTATCAGGTAATATCGTTTGATATTACCACCATTTCCTAATATGTTTCGCATCCCGTTCGAGACTTCCTACTTTAGATCTCCTCCTCGTACTTCAGTAACTAGTAATCAGATTTACATCTATTTTAATATCGCACCCTTATATATTCAAATGCATTTCGCATGAAAGCCCCCCCCCCACTCCAACTAGACGGATGAAAGCAGATTATGCTGCGTAATGTGGCACGCGTCTGAGACTCGAGCATAAATGCGGCAGCAGCGGCAAACATTTTAGTTCATTTACATTCGGTAAAACAAAAAGCTGATCATGTTTTCGCGATGTTGAGAATACCCCCCCCCCTACTCTCCTTCCCCTCCTCCCCGCCCGCGTGCGCATGCGTACACACGCCCTCTCATCCAAACACGTTTATTTTGGTGGTTTAAATTAAATAGATTTAATTAGAGGGCTTGTGTAATGAATGAATAGCGCGTCGTATCGCGATGAAATGACTCATGAGCTAGTGCGCGTTATTATATGTGCGAATCTATCTACATGGTAACGTGCCTTTCTTGTAGTGTTCTTATTTACTGTGTTGTGACTTTGAAAGGCCGTATGCAACTGTATGTGGTCTTTGACTGACGGAATAATTCAACGGATTTGGCTGCTTTTAATTTTCGGTTTTCATCTTGGTGAAGCAATAGGCCTATCGAAAACGTACTTTCTAGCCGTGCACGCTCGCGCATTCTGGAAAGTTTCGTCTAGCACCATAAATATTAAAATAATGGCCGTCACGTATACGCGTACGCATAAGCTTCGCGGATGTGCCATCGAACCGTGGTCTATGAAAAAAATGTTATCCGTAAATTTCGCCGTGAGCAAGACTTGTGCTTTCCATGTTTCATCGTCATTATATATCATATATATAATATATATATATATCATATATATATATATATATATATAATATATATGGCCTATATATATATATATTTCGATATCTAGAACCGCGCCGGTCCGTGTGCGTTCAACAATACCGCAGTGTTCTCTGCTAGACCATCACACACTGTGAACATGTCCACGCAAGTATGTTGTACAGATACAATATTCTGTAGATATATGTTCAGGTTCCCCCCCCGCGCTCCCCTCATACTCCATTCAATAAGCACAGCGGCACGTGACTGCTCTCCTGACCAATCAGATCATCTCGGAGTTGCTGCTGTTGTTACGGTGTCGCCCATCTGTCGTGATTGTCACCTCTGACCTCGAAGTCGAGTGGGTCGTCGGAACGTCCGTGGTTTTGGTGACGCACTTTCGCTGCTGCTGCTGCTGCTGCTGCTGCTGTGAGTGCGAGTAGGAGGAGGCGGAGGAGGAAGAGTGTTGTTGAGAGGAGGCATGGCTTTCCGTCGTTCTTGCCGTCTTTGAGACTTGCTTTTGCACCGAGCTGCTAACCGACTTTTTCACAACCTGGCCGCCGCCGCCGCTGTCCGCCCTGATGCCATCGAGTAAAATCTTCGACGTCGACGCGTTGTCCTTTTCGCGTGCGCCCTCCTCTTTCGCGGCGGCGGCGGCGGTGGCGGCGGTGGAGGAGGCGGAGGCGGAGGAAGGGGCTTCCTTTATGCTGGACGGCGTGCCGTTAAGCGGCGCGCGCGACGACGCCGTCGGCTTCGTCTCGATGTAGCGGAAGTGCTCCGGCTTGATGTGCACGTACGTCGGCCGGTAGAGTATGATGTTGTCGTCCTCCGTGCTGCCGTCGTAGACCTGTCCCAGCTGAAACTCGGGGCTTATGTACATGCCGCCCTCGACGTGCTGCGAGCAGTGGCCGTAGTAGGCAGCAGGCGGCGTTGCGCTCGGCACGCGGTAGGGCATCGTGGCGACGACGATGGGGAACTCCATGTGCATGTCGTCGCCGCTCTCCTCCATTGTCATGCAGATCTATGCATATAACACACACACGGGAGAGGCTTTACTAAGCTCGTATTTTGCTCTACTATATAATAATCATCATCATAATAATCATAATAGTTATTATTATTATTATTATTATTTGGTACGGTAAACGCGACAAATCCAGCAGCAGCGGCAGTGCAGCGGCAGCAGTAGGTGGGCGGTTGGTGTTCACGAGTATAAAGCGGCCATTATTATTTTTATTGTTACGTTCTATTTTTTTCTATTTTTATCATCGTTATTCTTATTTTTTCACTATTCTTATTTTATTATTGTTTATTTATATTACAATTTGTTTTTATCGTTGTTAAACTTCTATTATTGTTATTTAACGTTTATCATTTCTATTTACTTTCATTTTATTTTGTTCGTATTTCGTATAGCGCAGCAGTAATTAAAGAGGTGCGTTAGCCTGCCCCGCTGCCTCTGACCAGACCGTCGTTGCTGTGAGAGCGTGATGACTCGTCTCTACACAGGGAAATAATCGCAGTCATAAATCCGTCGATCGCTCGCCACCGTTAAGATCTAACAAACGGCTATCTATTCGCAGAACGACTATAGCCGTAATAGAAATCGGCAAAGAGTGCAGTCAGTGTGATCTATAGCACGCGTGGATGAGCGACCCATAACGGTAGTATACCTTAAGCGAGTAGCTGATCTGAATAAGCCGACAGATGTCGCTGGAGAGCGTTGGTGGAACAATAGGCAGCTGAAGCTGATCGTAGTCGTCAAACCTGAAAGATTTGCCGTCGAATGAATCGGCGATGCAAACAGAGCGGCGGTTACTGTCCGGGAACGCGTCACGCTGAATTTCAATGATATTTATCGAAATCGCCAACTTCCACTATCTAGTTAAAGTGCGTGAAAATAACGGGTTATGACTCGTGGTCGTTTATGCATTTTAATGAGAGCTCTTACGAGCTGGACAGCCGCGGAGTGTATATATACGTTTGTGTGGGAGAGCAGAATGAGCTTCTCGGGGGCGGTAGTGGGATGAAGACCGAGATCAATATGTAGTGCTAACATTAAACACGATAAAATAACAGCGACGGCAGCAGTCGGCGTGACGCAGCAAAATGTTTGCGAGAAGTTGTAAAGCGGACATCGCCGCCGCATCCACGGCTGTTTTATCGTATTATTATTTCTATCGCGAGCGCGTTGTCTATATCTCGCCGCGAATTTAATTACGTATGCAGATTTATGGGCGGGGAATTTATCGAAGCGCGCGCCGAGAGAGCGACGTCGAAACTAGGTAGTGTAGATTAAGGCGTTTCTCTGCCCGACCGTGCATGTGCCTAGCTTACATGTCGCATCGCGGGTTGGGGTTTTTCAGCCGGGCACGCGTTTATTTGCACGCTGGGCGCAGTGCAAATAGGGCCATGCGGGAGTTTACGCTTTTGGAGAGTCGTGTAAAAAAACGAGAAAGGGGGAATTTCTGCGCAACATAGTCGTCGGCGTTGCTTCTTATTACTCGATGATTTGTCGAAAACGCGCGATGTTGTTAGTGAGGCTGAGAGGGTCTATGTCCCCCAGGGTACTGTCGGAACGTACCCTGGGTACGGTCCGGTATACCGGAACGTACCCTGGTACCAGAGCATATAAATCAACGTGATTTATATGCTCTGCTGGTACTATCTAATATGCCGGACCGTACCTCGCCTACTCCACTAACGAGTCTAGGGAGTTGCCTATTCTAGGGAGTTGCCTACGCCTACTCCCTAACCCTAACCCTAACCCTAACCCTAACCCTAACCCTAACCCTAACCCTAACCCTAACCATATCAGATAGTTACCAGGGTACGTTCCGGCAGTACCCTGGGGAACATAGAGCCTATGAGCGTTAGTAAGCTATGTGTGTAATTAATGGGCTTCGTAAAGTCGTAAGCACCCCCCGTACTCCTCGACTAGTTTTCTACAGTGAATATAAAAAGTACCTGTATCTCGAGATAGGTCCCACGTTCGGTCCTCGAAACTCCATGACCGTGTGTAATGCATCTTTATTGAGCCCAAGTACGCCCCTGTCGATGTAGTATTCCACGTTCTGCGAATACAGCAATAATAACGATATCAGATGGTATCGATGATGCTAATGTTGACGAAGCTATGACGTCGTGAAAAAGTAACGTGAACGCGGCCATCTTGAAAGAGTAGATAGCTGCTTGTTGGTCGGTCTCTCGTATAAACTGCAAAAAAAACTGTAAATTCGATCATGCAAATATGGCTATAACACCTGTTATGCGGTGTTAATGTTTATGTTTATGTTTATGTTTATGTTATAATGTTTATGATGTTTAAAACGGGAAATGATACGGCGTAGAAAACAGATAACGAACTAACGGGCGTCTCAGGTACACACTTTTTTTTTATAAGAATTCTTTTTATAAGAATCATCGAGGCTCGATTTCCCAAATTTTATAGAATTTTTTAAGAATAATGCTGAGGCTCGATCATCAGACACACATTGTCACTCGATTCAACGAGGTACACGATGGCATGATGCGGCCTATATTGGCCTCGAAGACATTGACGCGGCGTAGAAGTCATATTACTGTAGTTTAACGAATTGCGTATATTTTGAAAAGGAGGGGTTACTTTCGTTGTGTTATACATTGGTTCTATACATTGCAATGTCGCGAATTCTGCGCTTTTTCTACTTCCTGGAACCAGACAGTCGCATGTTTACAGTTAATATGATTAATGTAGCCTGTCTGCGTAAACTATAAGTATGTACCGCTTAAGGCGTCTTTGAACCGAATAGATCTAGCAACTGTCGTTTTGGTAGAGGGGTAATATGTCACAGTCACTGCAATCGCAGGAGTCGGTCTGTACCCTTGTCAGCCTTTGCCGGTCAGAACTCTTTTCACCGCACGATCGGGAAGATACTGCAATGTGTCTACTCTCCAGAGAGAGATTGTGCGGAAAACGTCTCGGGTAAAAAAAAATATCGATAATCTCTCCCAGGATCTAGTCGGAGCAACGTGCACAGTAGCTCTATCTCGCGCTCGCTCTCGCTGGCTCTCTCTATCTATCTATCTATCTATCTATCTATCTATCTATCTATCTGTCTGTCTGTCTGTCTGTCTGTTTATCTCGCTAGCTATCTCTCCCCATCCTTCTCTCTCTCTCTCTCTCTCGCTCTCTTTCTCTCTTTCTCGCTCTCTCTCTCTCTCTCTCTCTCTCTCTCTCTCTCTCTCTCTCTTTCTCTCTCTCTCTCTCTCTCTCTCGCTCGCTCGCTCCTGTTGAATTTCTACAGTGCAATTATCGGAGAGTAGGCGAAGATGAGTTTCGCGTTCTTCCTTCGAATGAAACTCGAATGTGATTCATGAGTCATCCTCATCGTGTGTGTTTTCCTCGTCGTCGCTAGGTCCGTGGCGCGCTGCCCGAGCCGTTAAACATTCCCTCCACATGGGCCCGCACACCGGTCGCTCGCTGGCGGCATGATGATCAGCGTATATATATATATATATATATATATATATATATATATATATATATATATATATACTATTCAATTACGAATGTCAGTAGTGGCAATGATGCCTTGT